CCAAACTCCCTATCACTTGAATAGTTTAATTGCTCTTCTTTGCCAACTTCACTTCCATTAATGAATAACAACATCTTCATAGGGTTTGGGGCAAAACCAAGCATACATACAGAAAATCAAAACAAAACAAAAACAAGCAAACAAACACAGCCCCCCATAAAATTTATTCAGTTAACCTTCTTCATGGGTCAGAGATAGCTGACCCAAGTTCCTGGGAACATATGTACTCTGGACCAAAAATTAGGGAACCTGCATGAGACAGACCTAGGTCCTCTGCATGTGTGTGTGCTTTATCACAGCAACAGAAATAGAACTAAGAAAAGTATGTGTTATATATATATATATATATATATATATATATATATATATATATGTAGCAATGAGAACTAGGACGTATTTATTTGAGTCCTGTTTCAGACAGCATTTTTCAGAGAAACAATTAGCATCTTCATATTGTTCATACGAAGTTGATCAAATAAATACTTTCACAACAAACATTTATTGCTGAGCTCATTTTTTTGGTTTGTATTTTGTTCTGCACTTTTTTTTAAAGCTTATCAACCAGTTTCTGCTGCGTGCTCATTTTTGTTCATTTTTAACTCATATTCGAGGGCCTATTGGGTACATCATGTATTATTTCACTTTGAAAGTATATAGTCACTCAAAGAACATATATTGAACAACTGACACACAGTTTGAGTATAGAAGAGTTCATCCCTACCAGGTTAATGTCAACTGATGATAGAAAAAGAAATGTTTCTATCCTAACTTCTTAAGTTTATTGACCTAATATTGACTAAAGCTGAGATGTGTCAGCTCTTTCTAATGATTGTTTTTTAAATCACAAGAACATCTATGGAATTACGGACAAATTGATATTAAGCAGATTTTTATGGGAAAAAGAAAAAAGAGATATTACTCATTACAAACACACATTTAGGCTAGGCATTTTCATTTGCTATACATGTGAAAAGAAATGAATATCTGAACTTAGGAACTACAGCATCAAAACTTACTGAGGTAATTTTTTCTCCCTGGTCCTAAGGAACTCATAAACATGCTTACACTAAAAAGCCAAACAAACAAACAACAAACAGAAAACCCTTTCTCTCCTTGGTGAATAATTGCATGTGTCTGTTCAGGCATGTGATTTATGCAGGAGTTCTCAAGGTTTATATACTGTCATCTGGGCTACCATGTGGTTTCCTCTTGTTGGTTGAATCTGAGTACAGGAGCTTATTATTGAGGAAACTAGGGATGCTGACATGCTGTCTTGGTATGATGCAGGGCTTTAGAAAGTGCTGCTACTGTAGCCCTTTCAGTTCATTGAGTACCTTGTAGATGTGTGCTCTGCTACACCTTTTAAAACGTAAGTTGAACTCTTTAAACCCACTCTTCAAGGGTGTTTCTATGGTTCCTCTTTGCCAATGAGATAGTTGTAATTCTGAAAGCCTATACCATTAGTGTAAGTTCACACCATCAGAATATTCACCCTGGCTATAATTTCAGCCCTTTTGTTGTTTCTTTTGTTCTCTGCCTCTCTCGATAGATCCTATTGAAATGTGCTCCGTCCTGCTCTGTGAGCATAAGACATTCACACCTGGCCTTGTCAAGTTAAGGCACTGAGAAGTGTCACTCACCATCAATTCTATGTGTTGCTTGCATGTGTTCAGTTATGAATTCAACCAGGCTGTGTTTAGCCATACGGTGACACTAAGATTGCAGCAATCATCAAGCCATGCCATTTTGTTGAGTGCTTAGATTAGAGCCAACCAGGAATAGCTATTGCCCCCCTCCTTTACTTTGTCAAGGATAGGATTGCCATTTCTTTGTGTTTTGCTGTAACAGTCACTGAGGATAAACTCACCTTGAAAATATATTTAGGAAGACGTCATGTTGAAAAGTGACATATCTCTAAGGATTTCTTAGGCAGCCAAGTTTTCCTTCAGCACACACACGAAAAAGGAAATCACTTTTTATCTTGCTGAGCACATGATAACCTCATGGGGTTGCTTACTTCATTGTGTGAAAAATACCATGTTTAGCCTCACATCTGCAAGATGCTCTTAGCAAGAGGTTGTCTGGGCCAGAGATGAACTAATCTTTTGTCTCATGTTTCCTGTAGATAGATATGTTTTTTTCCAAAATGACCCAACTTATCTACTTACTCCTTTTGTTCTAAAAATGTTCTGTTTCCCTCTCCAACGTAATTTCTCTTTTTCCTTTTTGTATTTTTCCTCAGTTGATCAAAGCTTTACTAGATAGTTATACCTGTGTTATAGAATTTTTCCTTTTATAGTGTTTTATGATTCAAAGAAGCAAATAAATATCTACTTGTTCTTATATTTTTAGATTATTCACAGTTTTCAGTATTTCTGTCAGTTTTACTTTTAAATTTGGTGTTTATAATTATTTGCATCTCTAGATAAAGAATTTCATGGATGTTGGAAATAAAACTACTTTTATGTTTAGAGATTAAAAAATAAGACATTATTACCAAGTAGAAGCACTAGTGAGAGACAGGGTAAATATTTCTAGAGTAAATTAAAGTAAAAGATCACATATTCAGTAAAATAACAGAAAAATTGGAAAGGTATTTTTATTAGACTATACTGGTATTATCTATATGTGTGTATGTGCATGTATCATAACACTGTTGAACCCAATACATCTAATAGCTATACACAAATATAAACAAATACACACACATACACACACACACACACACACAGAGAGAGAGAGAGAGAGAGACAGAGAGAGACAGAGAGACACAGAGAGAGACAGAGAGAGAAACAGAGACAGAGAGAGAATTTTACCATTCCTAGCATCTATCAGAAGGAGAAAAAATAAAAAGGGAAATCATTTTACTTAAGTAATATAAAAATAAGCATATGTGTATGAACATGTTTTCATATTATTTACAGTCTAAAGGACTGTCTATACTCTCCTTTTAGGAGATCATGCGATCTGAACCATAAAAGAACTAAAGGAAAACAAATAGCTCAAACATACACACACACACACACACACACACACACACACACAGTAGGGGGAGGCAATGGGTAAGACAGAGAAAGGCACAGAGGGAGAGATTAGATTAGTCAAGAATTGAAGTCCATGATTAATGAGGATGCTTTCTCAACCAAAGTTGAATGAAGCAGATGAAAACTCAGCAGGCCTAGGCAGCTTCTGTGAGCATACAAATAAGTCTGGTCAGCAACTACTGCCTCCTTACTTCTTGCCAACCGGCTCTTCAAAATCCCAAGTAAGAGTGTCAGTGATTCAGCACATAATCTGCTTTCTATTGTCATGAGTGTTGACAGTGGTGAGAAGTTTGCACTTGTTGGGACCCATGTTATGTTGTTTGCATGGCATGAATAGGTTTTGAGGGGTTATCCAACCAAGACTTCAAATTTGAACAGCAGAAGTGGGACTCAACTATGTGAAACACTGAATGTATGGCATCCTTATCACTTGAATAATAAAAATGTATTGAATATTACATCTTTTAACTAACTTCCACCTTAGATAGGGAACAGGTGGATCAGAAAGCCTCACTCAATTTTTGCAAGTCCTGTGTTTTCTTTCTTTTCCACTGAAAGATTTTTGTAACCCTTTGGATGCTGTACAGCACAGAATGGCTTTAGTCTGTGTATTTCTCTAGTTAGGTAAAAATCTTCAATTTGCCTCCAGAAAGCAATGAACCTCAATGTGCTGGAGTGGTGTGTACCACTCACCCACTGATGGAAGCCACGATAAAGTCTTGTTTTGTGCATTGTTTTTGCCCATAAGCAATTCTATTTGTTGTAATCAAATTAAAAAGAATGGCCTCAGAAACAGGACTAATGAGATTGAAAGGACATTACAAAACAAAAGTGTAAAGGGCACAGTCTGCACAGTGTGTCACTTGGTCAATTGCACAGCAGTAGGGAGTTTCTTTTGCTTGCTACCGTGGAATTTTTCTTTCCAGTTTACTGGTGTGAGGGTCTCTGGAGTCATCACAATCTGTTTAGAATTTCTTGGCAACAGCTTTTGGATCAAGGCCAAAGTGATTGCCTGTTAATGCTTAAAATAGAAGAAGGTTATTTGCATATATATCATATATATGTTATATATGTTAATATATTAACAGTCTTTACTTTTCTTTAGTGCCAAAGAAGTTATAATCTCCTTAATTAGTAATTTCTGTTGGATTGTGTTAGGATTACCAGATGAGATTAAGCCCATATGAATGATGCTTATTAAATGTGAACAACGACATATAAAATCTCCTTGACTTTTGTTTACTGTTTGGTGCATGAAAGAAAAGCTAAGCCCATCAGAGATGTGTTCATGGGTCTGAATCAGAAAAGAAGCTTATGGATACTCCCCTAGAGTCTGAGTGCCAAGCTTCAGATAATCCGGAAATTAACAATTAAAAGGTTTTTGTATAAGGATTGATATGCATACATCATTTTTTTATGTTGATTTGTTAAAAGATAGGAGCTTGGCATGAACCCCTGTGCGTGGGAAATGGCCTCTTGAATTGAAAGCTATGTTGACTCTGTAATTGATGGAGGTCTGCTTTTGGAGTGATTTTTAATAGAAATCGCCTTGTTTTAGTGGTATCATTTTATTTTGATACATTAGTCATCACATCAAAGCAAAGCAAGTGGCTATTACACAGAACAGTTTGTGGAGTACTGCCAGGGATGAACTCTGACAAATTGTGGTCTGTTCCAAAATACCTGAATCCGTGAGAGCAGACACATCAATAAAGCTTCCCCTGTGAAGTGCAATTACATGAATGTTTCTGCATGTCTACCCTTTCGACTTCTGATGTTCTGAGATACAAATGTCCAGCATTCTGAGCATCAGAGCAATGCTACTAGGTATTTACACATTGGTTTGTTTTTGACACCAAGTGGAAGAAAATAAATTAATACATGTTTGATAGAGATAAAAATTAATTTAAAAGTTTCTCCAGAGCGCTAAATCTACAACTTTTGGGTTATCCCTAGGTTATGAGAATGATCTTGTCGTGAAACTCCAGGCAGATTGTAGTGGAACTGAATTTACTGGTAAGAGTATTGCCTTGATCAGTCTCTTTATGCATTTATACTATATTTAATTTTCACATTAAACAATGTACAAGTATAGCCAGAGGAAGTAACAAAAGATAAGAAACTATCATGAAAATTGAATATTTTCTAGTCTTAAGAGCATATAAAAACTAGATGCATAATAGTGTGGATATATGTGTTTATATATGTATGTGTGTGTACATGTGTCGGTGTGTACATGTGTCGGTGTGTATATGTGTGCATTCATGCCTGTATGTGTGGCTGTGCATACATGTATGTGTGAGTGTTATATTAAAATGTTTGTCTTATAATTTTTAAAAGGAAAGTCTCTTTCCTTGAATTTATTTTTCTTGTTGGCTGACCTCTTGACATATTTGAAAATGACATCTTGACCATATTTCTCGAAATGCCATTTTTAATAGAAAAATGAATTTGGCTCCTGAATTCTGTGGAGGTTAACTTCTTAGGAGGTTTGATGTTTACCTAGAAAAAAAAAAACTTTTATTTTCAGGGGTCAAAGAGAGCTTACCCTTTTGTGGTCTGGAGGGAGTTTGAACTGTCCCTGGGATTTGGATTAATGTGAAATCTGACTTGATTCTTCAGTTGAAGTTTTATCAAATTGTTGCAATTCTAGGATTCAGTCTCTAAGAATCTGTAAGTCAGCAAGTCTGTTTTGAAGGGCTAGACACTCACAGTGGTGTTCCTCCAAGGAAACTCTCTGAGTTTAAACCTGTATTTCCTAATTCTTATTACTGGAAAAAGAGTTGTACTTACATGTATGTAAAACATACAGGATGCAATTACATTGTATGTATATATATGCATAAATGTTATAGAATATACATATATTTCATAAATCTGACTGCAGTCATATGTATCAATGCTATGCTTGGTCTGTAGTATTGTGCTCCATTCAGAAAAAAAAAAAAGGTTAACAATTTGTGTCATTTTTGGTATTCAACACAATGCGATTTGAAAGATTCATTCTTAATAATATACAGTGCTTTCTCACACTTTAAGAACCCAGTTTTGTAAGTGACAGAATATAATACCTGAAAAATTCAGGTATTATTTGATATGTGCAAAACTTTTTCCTATATAAATTATAAATGGGGATTAATAAATAGAACGTGAAGACAGACATGACACCTTGACTTTGAGTTACTGTTAACATTGTTTAGCTTCTGGTAACCTGTAGAGACCTTTGAAATGAAGTCAGGGCTGTCCCAGTAATAAACATTTGAGGATGCTCTGTGTGTGCTTTGAGAATAGCTTAGCCTCTTTGTCTCTCAGTGAAGTGGTTTTGTCCTCTGTGTATTTGCGTCTTCTGTTTGGAACTTCTCTGAACAGACGTCTTTAGTCCAGTTAATCTGCATGACTATTAGATCATAAACCAAATGTACTCTATTCTAATATTCTGAGGGAAGTCCTCTGGGAATTTAATCTTTTCATGACAGAATTCATAAGGGGTATATTTTTTTTCTATTAAACCCATTTTATGAGTTTACTCTAATAAGTTTCCAGTTTGTGAGATACCTAGGTAAGTCTTCTCAGAAATTAAAGGATCAAATGTTACACCCATGGGATGGGGCACATAATCCAGTGCTAAAATACAGGCCCAGAATGTGCAGTGCCCTGGGTTCAGAAAAACAATAAATATCCCAGTAAAACAGTACAACCACCCAAATAAAAAATATCAACCAAACCAGTATATTATCAAATAAACAGCAACAAAAAGGAAATACCTCACTCTGCCATCGGAAGCCTAATTGTCTTTGAGTCAGAATGGTGTATACTTAATAACTTTATCTGTTGGTATCATGAAAATGGATATAAATCTGTAAATTACACTACTGCTCACTCATTACTGTCCACCCCTCCCTCTGTTTTGATTAATTATATTTCCTTTTTTTCTTCTTCTTGATGATTGATCAAATCATTTATAATTCTATAAGGTCAGTTTCTTTTTGCAGTTTTCATTGTAATGTTTGAGAAATTATTCTTTTTCCTTACAGAAAAGCTTTGTGGGATCATGGTCCTAGAATACACACACACACACACACACACACACACACACACACAAACATTAGCATGTACACACACATGTGCATGTACACACACACACAAAATTCTTAATTTTCTTTAGTTAATACTTTGTGTGAAGATTTCTCCCTTGATTCAGAACCTCTTCTAAAAGAATTTTTAAGAGTACAAAATAATCACCAGTACTCTGGTAGAAAAGTATACTAATTTTGCTCTTACATTTTCAAAACCAAAATTTGCCTGGATTCACCAAATACCCACTTGATAAGAGCTAGAATTTTTTGAAATTGTACCTATGCCTATGAGATGCATGCATGTTTATCCGTATATGTTATTCATTGCTCACTGCTTTACCTGTGTGTAATTTATCTAAAGCGTTATTGTCCAAGCATCTTAGCAGTCAGGTTCAGTATATGAATGACAGAGAAGATTATTTTGTTTTGGAGTTCATAATAATACATGGAGCAGCAGGTAACCTTCGGGTTACACACCCAGACTGACGGATGGTGCTTATCTCTACCCACTGTTCTTCCTACTGATTTATGGAGTTTGATGTGCTCTTTTATATCAAAGCCTTGGCTTTGTATCCTGGCAGTCTAAAAGAGAGATTAATATTTTCATTTAATCTTAGTAAAGTGCTATTGTGTGAAAAAGGAAGGGAGGAAGGGGGCAATGGAGACTGAAAAGTCTCTCATTATGGATCACTTTTTGGACTCCTGTGTGGAGGAGTTTTTGTATTGTTTCTCTGGATCCTTGGCTAAGAGTTCCCAATTCCATTTCAACATGGGCTGTGATGTTTTTTAATGCTTTCTAATCCTTCAGATCCTGATAGCCCAAGCCAGCCAAGTAGGCCTGGTCTTGTTACTGGCATTGGCTCTAACTCATTCCTATTAGAATTATTAGAAAATAAAAGTGTAAGTTCCTGTCCATGTATATTTTGCAAAGCCACATTCTGCTTTCAAGAAGTTCTGTTTGGAAGCGAAGTAAAATGGATCTCCTTAGCAAGAATTTTCCCTCTGTTGAATAATTAAATGTAGTTTTTTAGCATCTCTTGAGATGGGGTATGCTGAGGCGATAGAAGATTCCATCAATGCTAGAATGTTGTGCATAAATAATTAATGTGTCATATTTCATGTAAACAGTATCCCTTTCCTTTTCCAGTGATAGGAATGCATCAGAAGAATGCATGCCCTTGTCACAGAATTAATCTTCTATCCATATTTGATGTTTACACCTCTTAAATATTTATGAGCTGTTATCTTGCTTTATTGTTATTTACTCTCTCCAGGGGCATGTGAGAAGCCTTGCATTTCTTCCTTAGCCAAGCATTCTGCTTCCTTCCTTCCTCTCTTGGCTGTTCCTTGGATTACCTCCAATTTGCATACATAATTCTGGTTTTGAGGTGCCAGAAATCCATTTGTCTCAACTGGAGTTGTATTGAAGTTGGTTTTACTCAAATTGTGTACACAAATAAATGTGATTTCCAAAGGCATGGGAATTCAGTGAGGGTTCTGAAGTGAAGCAGGCCAAGGTACACAAACACAGTGTTAAGACAGTACAGGTAGACTTTATGTTCCTAGGAATATGGAATCCCCAAATCAAAAGACCATAGAGTGAGCACTGTGTGAAGAATTAATTCCATTTTAAAATTTTACATACATGCTCATATTAAAAAGCTTTTTTTGGTGCGGCACAATTGGGAATATAAATATCTTTATATATCTAACATGTAAATTTTTAGTGTTTGTATACATGCAAATGCCTGTGAGAACACACACAATCAAGGTAATGTATGCATCTATCATCTCCAGAGAATTCTTCTGCGCCCCTTTGGTTTTCTGGTTTTAGATTTTAATAGGCTTGGGTTCTTTCTTTGTAGACATATTCTTAGGTTTTATTGATTTTTCATTTTTTCCAAGTCCAGGAAGCAAAATCTATATCCAAAAGCAAAAATAGTTGCTATTATTATATTGCATAGAAAGAATGAATAATATGACCTTTAAAATATGAAACATTAAAAAACACTAGAATACAGAAAAACTTGAGTGATTATTTTAATGAACTCTTTTGCTCTTACATTCATGTTTAAATGCATGGTTTAAAGAGCCAAGAGATGCACTGAATAAATAAAATACCCATGAAAAGACATAGTACCACCAAACGAACGACATAAAACAAAATCAAATGGAAGAAGAAAATTGTGTTTCCTTCAAAAAACGCTGTTCTTGCCCTTAGGCAATCATGTTGGAGAAAAAGATCATGTATAACAAAGTCACAAATCATCGACATCGTCCGCAAACAGTGGGTTTTATTGGATTGCACACATGTGCAAATACTTGAGGCCTTGGGAAGGAAGCACACCAATAAAATACATCATGACTATCACCACTGAACTAGGCAGGGTAAAGCAGGGCCTCACTGAGCATCCAGTGATGAAATGGGGCATTAAGAAGTAAATCAAAGTCTCTGATCAAAGACTAATTTAGCCCATCATAAATGATCCTGCAGTGGAAAGAAGCTTCACATGCAGAGATCAAAGATTAGGATCTGCACATATAACACTGCACCCCTGCCCTGTGGGGAGGGGGAAAGAGCAGAGAGAGAAGAAGGAGAAAGAAGCCATACATCAAAGCTCTCGAAGAACCCAGTGCGATAAAATCTCCCTTTCTTCAGGACAGCATACAAAATTAGAGAAGTGCAAATGATTTGAAACTGAGGAGCTGGCACTGGTGGCTAGGTAACTTGTTTGTAGACGCACATCAGGCAGGGCTTCTGGTGGCTAGGTAACTTGTTTATAGACGCACATCAGGCAGGGCTTGTCACTTCACTACCTCCCGGTTTGTAGTCCTTGCTTGGATATATCAGAAATCTCTTCACAATTGCAAGCAACAGGTAGATAATTTTCCATTCGAGAGACTATTAATTGACTTTCTATTGAGTCAGAGACTCAAGCC